CAACAGCAAGGGGGCCGGGAGTAGCGGCCCATTGAGGAATTCCTACGCGGGGCCGCTGTTGCCCCCCAAGCGCCGCCATTTTGCTTCCAAGTCGAACGCGACCGAGCTCGAGCGTCGCATTGCCGCAATCCCAATTGAGCGCTACCGCAACTTTTGCATTGTAGCTCATATTGACCATGGCAAAAGCACTCTCAGCGACCGGCTCTTGGAACGGACGGGGACCATCCTTCCGGGCGATTCGAACAAGCAAGTTCTCGTATGTCTAGTCCCCCGCCTTGACAGTGAAGCTTGAATCCGTGGGCAGAAAGATAGACAACTGACTGCCATGCGTCATGATAGGATAAACTCGACGTCGAGAGAGAACGTGGTATCACCGTGAAGGCGCAAACATGCACCATGCTCTACAACTACAAGGGCGAAGACTATCTCCTCCACCTAGTCGACACACCCGGTCACGTCGATTTCCGCGCCGAAGTTACACGCTCATATGCTAGCTGTGGAGGTGCGCTGCTGCTTGTCGACGCCAGCCAAGGCATCCAGGCGCAGACCGTTTCCAACTTCCACCTCGCCTTTGCCCAAGACCTCGCCCTGGTCCCAGTCATCAACAAGGTCGATATGCCATCTGCCGACGTCCCTCGTGTGCTCGAGCAAATCGAGACCAGTTTCGAACTTGACCCCGCGTCTGCCATTCCCGTCAGCGCAAAGACAGGAAAGGGAGTTGATGCTATCCTACCGGCCGTAGTAGAGCGAATACCTCATCCGACTGGCGACGAGACGAAGCCCTTGAAGATGTTGCTGGTTGATTCGTGGTATGATAATTTCAAGGGCGTTGTTCTACTCGTAAGAGTGTTTGACGGACAAATAAGAGCCGGAGACAACGTCGTATCCTTGGGAACTGGTATGAAATACACGGTTGGTCAGGTTGGTATCCAATACCCCGATGCCACGCCCCAAAGTGTACTCCGTGCAGGGCAAGTTGGTTACGTCTTCTTCAATCCAGGAATGAAGAGGATTCAGGATGCCAAGCTAGGTGATACCTTCACAACCATTCAGGATGCTGAAATTGTCGAACCATATCCGGGATTTGAGGAGCCAAAGCCCATGGTCTTTGTTGCAGCATTTCCAACCGACCAGAGTGATTATACCAAGCTCGCAGACAGCATTACGCAGCTCGTCCTCAACGATCGCAGCGTGACCCTACAGAAGGACTTTTCCGAAGCGCTTGGCTCAGGCTGGCGCCTGGGTTTCCTCGGTAGCCTTCACTGCTCAGTGTTCCAGGATCGTCTAAAGCAGGAGCACGGTGCGGATGTCGTCATCACAGAGCCTACGGTACCTACCAAGATTGTCTGGGCCGATGGGACAGAGGAGATTGTTCAGAATCCAGCACTGTTTCCCGATGCAGGCGACCATCGGATCCGGAGTGCACAGCTCTTTGAGCCGTAAGTAGCCCGCCATTTCCTTCCTCCAGGCTCCCGGATGCCAGCGGATCGTCTAGCTTGCATCGATTCACTTATCAAGATGCTCAACTAACCGACGCACTACTCTTTCCGTAGATTTGTTAAGGCAACCATCACCATGCCTGAGGAGTACCTTGGCCGGGTAATTGAGCTATGTGAAGCCAACCGAGGAATGCAGAAGAGTTTGGATTTCTTCCACGCAACACAAGTCATCTTGGTATACGACCTCCCTTCGGCGCAACTTGTTGACGACTTTTTCGGGAAACTCAAAGGCGCGACGTAAGAAATAATCGCTATTAAAATCTCCTCTAATGAGATCGAGCTCGAACCAGTACTGACGTCATGTTATCAACACAGAAAAGGCTACGCTACCCTCGATTACGAGGAAGCTGGTTGGCATGAGGCTAAACTCTCCAAGTTGCAACTCCTAGTAAACAAGCAACCTGTCGATGCAATCTGTCGTGTGGTCCATCACACCCAGGTCGACCGGCTGGGGAGGCATTGGGTCACCAAGTTCAAGGAACACGTGGACCGGCAGATGTTTGGTGCGTTTTGTCTAGAACATCCGGTGCCCCTATACTTACCCAGCGTTGAACTCTATGAAACGTGCTGACACCATGACAGAGGTTGTTATACAGGCCACAGTTGGTAACCGGATTGTTGCCCGAGAAACGATCAAGCCCTTCCGCAAGGATGTTCTGGCCAAACTGCACGCTGCCGATGTGTCTAGGCGGCGAAAACTTCTAGAGAAGCAAAAGGAGGGAAGGAAGCGGCTAAGGGCTGTCGGAAACGTTGTTATTGAACAATCAGCCTTCCAAAAATTCCTGGCAAAGTAACAGCTGTAGGCATCATTGGACTCGCGCTGGCTTGAGAACTGCTTGGCTTGTATTGATATGATGAGCCTATTCTGGATAGACAGGTCTACGTGAATAGTGTGTATACTATTGTGTATCGGTGTTAAAATAATATAGAGAGACATTCTGGATGGTGCTACACGACCTGTCCTAAACTCTGCTTGCTTGGGCCAGCTTCAGGCAGATCCTCGCCCAACGTAGCCCGCGATGTTCGTGAAAGTCCCAATCCTCCGGCCAGTGTGGTCTCGTCTTGGGTCAAATCAAGCTGCCCGTCGCCTTCCTTCTCGGCAACAAAGTCAAATAAACGGTAGTCAGCATTGGTGAACCACCACCCCACAACACCTAGTCGAAGAAACCCAGAGTGGCTAACAACAAAGATGATCTTTTCCGGGCGAGAATAGAGATCGGCCAGGCCACGCTTTCCGCGGGACAGGATTGAGCTGCGCGTGTGGGCATAGCGAGTCGCCTCAGCGCTCGTCTTATCGGGGTAAATGGGGTCAAGGGAACCAAAGTCCACGGATGGGAACTCGGCGGAGACATCAGAAATGGGCGACCCAGTATCACAAGGCTTATCCGAGTTTTCTGATCGACTCTGGGTCAGAATGTTGTTTGCCAAAGGCACATGAATGATATTTGGGAGTAGAACAACTGCTTAGATCCCTCGCTCTATACTTCACAGCACACTATACACCCTGATAGTCACATCTTCACATACCTTGCCAGTCTGCATTCGCAACTATCTTGATCCCTCGATCTACGAGCCAGTCCAGGGAAAGTTGGGCTGTTTGCAGGGTCCTCCTCATGGGGCTTGCAATGATTGCCACCTCGCCCAACTTCAGCGGGAGAGAAGCAAACCGGTCGCGGAGACTCTGGCGAAGGAGGGCACACTGCTCCACGCCGAGTTCGGTCACAGGGGGATCGTGAAGGTCATATTCCTTGTTGACATTGTGCAGCGCTTGGGCGTGCCGGATAAGAACAATACGGGGAGCCATTCTTGTTTGAGGGCAGTGGCGGGAATCGATGGGCGAGCTCGTTGGTGTACATAAATAGGTAGGTAGAATTGAAGATTGGGTGACTCCTCTGCGTAGCGCGTCAGCCGTGAATGCAACCACGAAGGCGGCGGTGAGTGGGCCTCTTTCTGCTCGAGTCAAACCAGTCTTGCAGGGCCCAGTGACGCATAACATATTTTCCCGGTGTGCACGCGTGAATAGCAGAAGGAATATGCTCAATGCTGTAGTTTATAATGGCTGACTTGCCGTGAATATGGCAGCAATGGAGATGTAAAGGAGCCGTGATTGACTAAATCCGAAGTCGGCACCACATGACAAGATTGATTGTACTCGTCACGAACCGAAACCTCCAATGCCAATCATCTGAGATCTATACCTGAAATAGAAGGTGAAGAGATCAAAGTACATTGGGGAAGATCATAACAGGGAGCTACCTACATAGAAGTATATGTTTTCTGTCCAAAGAAGCCAGGATAAGTCTAGCAGAATGTTATGCCTCCCAGTATGACTACAGGCAAGTCAAAGCTCCCTTCTTCAAGTTTTCAATCACATCAGACCTTAATCATCTGTTCTTGAATTTACAGCTAAACGAGAATTAATCATTTCGAGGTGAGCGAATAATGTAATTTCGAATTGTTCTTGAGTAGAGGACATGTCTAGGTGCAATCTACCATATATTGTATCAATAGAGGTCCGCCAACGAAGGTCTTTTTGCACTGCAATTTGCCAATGATTATCTACCGAGGTAATTTTTCAGCTTTTCTACACCATACTACTGGCTTATAACTGGCTGAAGTCATAATGTTAGTGCCGCCATTCACATACTCCCAATAGGTCACCCTGATTTGCTATTTGACAGCTATGTCGTAGTCGTTCATTACCTGCGCATGAAGTGGCATGGACAGGTTCTCTATCACTCTATCCATGATACTAAGTGATTGAGGATTCTAGAACAGAACTAACCGGAGGATTATGTATAAGTGGTACAAGCTGTGTTGAGGCACTATTCATCTGCTCCGATTGGTAACATGGTAGGACTGCAGTGATTCGATAAATTCACTCGCATCGATTTACGAGACCGACGGCACTATTGGTTTAATAGTGCTTGATCTCGGAAGTAAAAGCGAGAGAGTTATGGTCGTGCTTACGGTAAATTCCAAGCAGCTAAATCAGATGCCCAGCGACGATGGGGTCTCAAATTAGAATTTGAATCGGGCAAAAAGCCATAATATATTGTTATATATGTAGCTTGATCTTAGGATATCTCTTGCTTATAATAATAATAGAAAATGGCATATTGTTGTTGAAAGTAGTGATATAATTTTGGTTTTCAATGGAAGCCCGCAGAGTCCTACTTACTAGAGGAGCACCTAATGTAGCCAAGGCCTCAAGCAACTAATATATTGGATCTTCACCTGATCCTTCTCCTTGCGAGCTCGCATGGAAGATCCCTCTATAGTCTCCCTACGGCTGAATAGAAAACCAACCAGTGGCTCTTGGGAGGCGGTAGGGGTTCAGCTGATGTTGCATCATAAAGACGAATCACAAGTTTCGACACAAATCTGAGGTAGTGGGAACAGACATGGCTGTCGAACTTCGCTCTCCTTGCCCCTTCATCTGACACATATTCCCAGACAGCGCCACGACAGTGGGAGCTCGTCATCACGTCTGACCTACGAATGGCTTCGCCGGCGTGGACCGACAAGGTCTTTCGGTTCCGGCGGCTGCCGCATTATGTGACCGACGCTGTCGAGGCAGCGAGTTTGATCAGCACAGCATTGGGAATCCCACTCGATGATACCATCATCCGATCGCTTGCCACTACGTCGAATCGATGGGAATCGCCACCATCCAAGATAGTAACTCTGCAGCTAAACAGCGTTCCCCTAGTTGCCTGCAATATGATAGCCGCGAACTCCAAGACTGCGAGATTTCTTTTGCTGAAGCGCCAGGTGGCAGATTGATCCTTGATGCTCATTTTGAAAACCTGGCGGTTCTCAATGGTGTGGACCGGGAACTCCATCACACTGAGTATGTATTGACGACTCTAGGATGCTCTATCTCATGAATACATGCTAAGTAAGGCAACAAAAGTTGCATTGCCATCTCTGTGTTAGCCAGCCATCCTTTTGGCTCCTGGCAGCCCCACGGTCACGATAAGTCCTTCACGTAGATTAGGGATAAAGTTCCTAGATCCATCCCCGAAATCCAAATGATAACGTATGGTTCCAATTCTGACCTTGTAAGAAGCCAGTCTTTTCAAACTATCAGCGACATTTCCCTTGGGCTTATCCACCAGCTGAATACTGGAGGCTGGAACCTTAAAACATCCAAGCATATTACCTCCGCGGCCCACAGCCTCGGTGGTCTTGTTCTTAAAGACGTTATCGTCCAGATATCCGACCGCGAGGTCGTAGCCTCTATGCTTGATAGGGTTAGGGGAGCGATCATGTTCGGCGTGCCTAGTTTGGGAATGTACCAGTCTCACCTGATCGCGATGACCCAAGGGCGGTCTAATGAGATGCTGGTTCAGGATCTTTCACGAGAGAATGGCAATGCATACCTACGCCAACTTAATACTCGCTTTGATGGATTGCCATTTATTAAAAAGCCCCAAATTTATTGGGCTTATGAGACCAAGGAGCCCCCTTATAGTAAGTGGTCGCGGATCTTGGCTAGACTTTCCTGACTGAGACCAACATCTAAGATCTAGCTTTGTGTTAGAAGCAAGCAGATGGAAGTTGGGCTAGGAACGGCCCTCCTCAGCTCTTAGTCAACCCGGATTCTGCGACCTGTCACTATAACAGTAAGAACAAAGCCGACAGTCCCAATTGACGAAGACCACTCTCCTTTGGTGAAGTTCTCGAGCGGGGATAAGGACTTAAATATAATAATAAATATTCTTTCTAAAATTTACACTTAAGAGTATCTTAGAAGCTACTTAATATAGGTTAATAAATACTAAATATATAATAATATATAATAAGAGAATAAGCTATTATTAAAGTTTAATATTATATTATTTATTTCTTTTTACTATATATAAAAGTAATATCTTAAGATTAAGCTATATATATAATTATTATATATAGTTTATAAAATATAATTTATAGCTTATATTTAAACCTTTAATATTATAAAAACTTAAATATTTATATATTTAGCTTAAGTATAAGTATTAATATTTTATTAAAAACTTTAATAAAAGCTAATTAATATATAAATTAATTATAACTTTAAAAAGAGATATTTATTATTATTAACTATAATTATTAAATACCTTATAATAATAATAATATTAAATATAAATATCTTTATTTATTAAAGGTTAATTAAGCTATATAACTAAGTCTTTATATATATAATAATAATTATTAAATATTATATAAAATAGCTTTATTTTAAGTTAATTTAAAATATATTTCTTTAATTAATTAAAAGTTTATTTATAATAATAAAGCTATTTATAATAATATAAATTTAATAATTATATTTATTAAATTTATTTTTTTATTATATAATTTATAATTAAATATTATTATAAATATTTAAAAAAGATAAAATATAATTAAATTACTATATAATATTATTTATTTATTTCTTTTTACTATATATAAAGGTAATATCCTAAGATTAAACTATATATATAACTATAAGCTATAGCTATTTAATATATATCTTAAAAAAACTAAGCTATAGTCTATATCTAAACCTTCTTAATATTATTAAAACTTTTAAGATTATATATAAAGCTTAAATATAAATATTAATATCTTAAAAAAACTCTAATAAGGGCTAATTAATATAATATAAATTAACTATAGCTTTAAGAGGGGATATTTATTATTATTAATTTCTCTTAATTTAATTTAAAGTAAAAAGCTAAAAATATTAATATTTAATATAGTTCTTCTAATTAATAGTTAAGATATAATTAATATAAATAATCTAATTCTTAAGATTATAAAAATAATTATTTATATTAACTTAAGAAGGATCTTTTCTTATTATATTTAATATATAAGCTTTTACTTAATTAAAGGCTTACTTATAATAATAAAGCTACTTATATTATAGTAAATTTAATAATTATATTTATTAAGCTTATTACTTTACTATAAAATTAGCCTCTTAATAACTAAGGCTTAAGTATTAAAAGTACTTATTAAGAATAAGAGGTAGCTTAAAAAGCTAAACCTTATTAATAATAACCTACTTATTTATATTTATTAAAATCTAAGATTTAATATATAGTTTTAGTATATTTTATATTATATTAAATTAACTTAGGTAGAGATAGCTTTTAAAGATTAAATATAGAATTTATTAATATAATTAGTTTATATTAATTTAAAGTTAATATATTAAAAAAGTTTTTAGGAAAGTTTATTAATTATTAAAAGATTAAAATTAAAGGAAAAGTTTATTAAAAGTTAATTTATATTTAATATATTTTAATATAAGAGTTATTAATATAGAATTTTTAAATTAATAATAATAATTAATTACTTATTATTAATTTAATTAATAAACTATATATTATATAATATACTATATAATATATAATTATATAAATTACTAAATATTAAGAATTAATAAGCTTATATTATTAATAATAAAAATTCTATTATAATAAATATTATATTATACTCTTAAATATAATAAATTAATTAATATTTTTATATTCTTAAATATTTTAATAAATAAACTTTTTTTAATATAAATTTATTAATATTTTAATTTAATTTTAATTAAAAATATAAAATTAAATTTTAATTTAATATCTTTAATCTTTAAAAGTTATTTTTATTTAAATAAGTTTAATATAATATATAATATATTAAAACTAAAAATTATATTTTAAGTTATAATAAATATAAATAAAAAAGTAATTATTATTAAAATATAATATTTTATTTAATTATATTTTATTCTCTTTAAGAGGAGAGGTATAAGGATAAATATATATTTATATATTTAAGAGAGATAAATAAGCTTATATTTAATTAGCCTAGCTATTTATCTTTCTTTCTTTCTTTCTTCTTTTCTCCTTAATTATATATAAATATTCTATTAACTTAAATAACCTTAATAACTATCTTTATAATAAATACTTACTATCCTTAAGTTAATATCTTATATATTAAGTTATTAATATTAAATAATTAAAGTAATTAAAGGTTATAATAATTATAATTACTATTTTATATTAATATATACTTTAAGATTAAAAAGATTAATTAAATAATATATTATTAAGTAATATTACTTTTATTAATTAAGTCCTCCTCTTTAAAGGAGTTAGTTTTATTAAGAATATAATTACTAAAGTTAAATAAGCTAATTATTTACTTTAGATTAAGTAAAAAAGGATTATTAATCTTTAATAGCTTTATAGTCTTAATAATATTTATAAGCTTATAATTACTTATATTTATATTAAAAAGTTTAAAGATTAATAAGTTATATAATTATTTATTCTTAATAATAAATATTAATATCTTTAATATCTTACCTTTTAGTATCTTAATATATCCTTTAAGATATTTATTAATATTAAGGTTTAATATACTTATAATTAATTAAGTTTAAAGTAAATTAAATAAGATTAATAATAAGTATAAGCTTAATAAGATATTTAAAACTTAAGTATATATAAGTTCTTAATTACTTTAAAGATAAAGCTTAATATATTTAATTATTAATAAAGTAATAAAGGTAGTAATATATAAAGTAGTATATTATATAATATATAGTTTATTAATTAAATTAGTAATAAGTATTTATTATTATTAATCTAAAAATTCTATATTAGTAATTCCTATACTAAAATATACTAAATATAAATTAACCTTTAATAAACTTTTCTTTTAATTTTAACCTCTTTAATAATTAATAGACTTTCCTAAAAAACTTATCTAATACTATTAAGCTACCTAACTTAATCTATCTATAATATAATATTAACTATATTAATAAAATAGGTTTAATCTTTAAGAGCTACTTTTACTTAAATTAATTTAATATAATATATAATATATTAGAACTAAAGGTTAAACTTTAAGTTATTATAATTAGTAAGTATAAAAGAATAATTATTAATAAGATTTAGCTTATTTAAGCTTTTTTTATCCTCTAAAAGTACTTTATACTTAGCTTAATTTATTAATATTACCTTATTAGCTTTATAATAAATTAATAACCTAGTAACTATAACTATTAAATTTAAATTATTAATAATAACTTTATTACTATAAGGAGGCTTATAATTAATTAAAGGCTTAAATACTTAATATACTTAAAAATAACCTCTTTAAGTTATCTCTTATAATTATTATTATATATTATAGGACTTAGTTATTTACTATAATTAGTATTTATTAGAGATAATAATATTAAATATTAATATTATTACTTTACTTAGATTAAATTAAATTAAGAGAAATTAGTAATAATAAGTATCCCCTCTTAGAGCTATAATTAACTTATATATTAATTAGCTTTTATTAAAGTTTTTTTAAGATATTAATACTTATATCTAAGCTTTATATATAATCTTAAAAGTTTTTATAGTATTAAAAAGGTTTAAGTATAGATTATAGCTTATTTTTTTAAGATATATATTAAATAGCTATAGCTTATAGTTATATATATAGCTTAATCTTAGGATATTACCCTTATATATAGTAAAAAGAAATAAATAATATAAAGTAGTAAAGGTAGTAATATATTATTAAATTATTTATAAGTAAGTTTTTTACTACTTTAAAGGTAAAGCTTAATATAGCTAATAGTTAATAAAGTAATAAAGGTAGTAATTATAGATAGATTATTAATATAGACTTAAGCTATATAGTTCTATTAAGTATATTTATAATAGCTAAGGATAATAGCTTTTAAATAGATAAAAAGTAATATTTTAAGGTTTATAAAAGAAGTTATATTAATAAAAGATTTATATTTAAGGTATAAGCTATTATTAATATTAAACCTTATATATAGTTAAATATAAGCTTTATAATTAAATAAAAAGGCTAAAGGTTAATATATTATAATACTAAGTATAATATTAAGTTATTTAATTCTTAATATTTAGGAATTTCCCTTTTTTTTTTAGTAACTATTATATAACTATATAGCTCTTTTATTTACTATTATTCTCTTTAAGTACTTATAATAATATTTAATTATAAACTATATAATAAAGAGATAAATTTAATAAATATAATTATTAAATTTATATTATTATAAATAGCTTTATTATTATAAATAAGTCTTTAATTAATTAAAGAAATATATTTTAAATTAACTTAAAATAAAGTTATTTTATATAATATTTAATAATTATTATTATATATATAAAGATTTAATTATATATTTTAATTAAGCTTTAATAAGTAAAGATATTTATATTTAATATTATTATTATTATAAAGTATTTAATAATTATAATTAATAATTATAATTAATAATTATAATTAATAATAATAAATATCTCTTTTTAAAGCTATAATTAATTTATATATTAGCTAGTTTTTATTAAAGTTTTTAATAAAATATTAATATTTATATTTAAGCTAAATATATAAATATTTAAGTTTTTATAATATTAAAAGTTTAAATATAAACTATAAATTATATTTTAAAAACTATATATAATAATTATATATATAGCTTAATTTTAAAACTAAATAATTTTTATTTATAATAAGAAAAAATAAATAAATAATATAATTAAATAAAATATTATATTTTAATAATAATTACCTTTTTATTTATATTTATTATAATTTAAAATTATCTAAATCCTTCTCTTTAAAGGAGTTAATTCTATTAAGAATATAACTACTAAAGTTAAATAGGCTAATTAATTACTTAAGATTAAAGTCTTAAAATACCTTAATCTTTAATAACCTTATAACCTTAGTAATACCTATAAGCTTATAGTTACTTATATTTATACTAGGAAACCTAAAGATTAATAAGTTATATAGCTATCTATCTTTAATAATAAGTATTAGTACCTTTAGTAGCTTATACTTTAATATCTTATAAGATATATCCTTTAAGATATTTACTAATATTAAGATTTAGTATACTTATAGTTAGTTAAGTTTAAAGTAGATTAGGTAAGATTAATAGTAAGTATAGGCTTAGTAGGATATTTAACTTTAGTAAGGACTTAAGTATATTAGAGCGATAAAGGTAGTAATATATAAAGTAGTAAAAGTAGTAATATATTATAGTTAAATTATCTTAATAAGGTAGTAATTATAGATAAATTATTAATTATAAGTAAACTTAAGCTATATAATTCTATTAAGTATATTTATAATAGCTAGGGATAGTAGCCTTTAAATAGATAGAAAGTAGTATTTTAAGGTTTATAAAAGGAGTTATATTAATAAAAGACTTATATTTAAGATATAAGCTATTATTAGTATTAAACCTTATATATAGCTAGATATAAGCTTTATAGCTAAGTAAAAAGGCTAAAGTTTAATATATTATAATACTAAGTATAGTATTAAGTTATTTAATTCTTAGTATTTAGGAATTTCCCTTTTTTTTTTTAGTAATTACTATATAACTATATAGCTCTCTTACTTACTACTATTATAATTTAAAATAGAGGGGGTATAAAGATAGATATATATTTATATATATTTATATATTTAAAAGAGATAAGTAAGCTTATATTTAACTAACCTAGCTATTTATCTCTTTTCCTTTCTTCTTTCCTTCCTCCTCTTCTCTCTAGTTATATCTAGAGGTTATAATAATTATAATTACTATTTTATATTAATATATATTTTAAGATTAAAAAGGTTAATTAATAATATATTATTAAGTAATATTACTCTTATTAATTAAGTCCTTCTCTTTAAAAGAGTTAATTCTATTAAGAATATAATTACTAAAGTTAAATAAATTAGCTATTTACTTTAAATTAAATAAAAAAGGATTATTAATCTTTAATAACCTTATAACCTTAGTAATACCTATAAGCTTATAATTATTTATATTTATATTAAAAAGTTTAAATATTAATAAGTTATATAATTATTTATTCTTAATAATAAGTATTAATACCTTTAATATTTTACCCTTTAGTATCTTAATATATTCTTTAAGATATTTATTAATATTAAAGTTTAATATATTTATAATTAATTAAGTTTAAAGTAAATTAAATAAGAGCTTAATAAGATATTTAAGACTTAAGTATATTAATAAAGATAGTAATATATAAAGTAGTAAAGGTAATAATATATTATTAAATTATTTATAATAATAAAGATAGTAATTATAGAATAAATAGATTATTAATTATAAATAAACTTAAGCTATATAGTTAACTAAGTATATTTATAATAATATATACTTTATCTTCTTATTAAGAATTAAGTTAAAGATTATAGCCTTTAAATAAATAGAAAGTAATATTTTAAGGTTTATAAAAGGAGTTATATTAATAAAAGACTTATATTTAAAGTATAAGTTATTATTAATATTAAACTTTATATATAGCTAAATATAAACCTTATAATTAAGTAAAAAAGCTAAAAGTTAATATATTATAATACTAGGTATAATATTAAGTTATTTAATTCTTAATATTTAGGAATTTCCTTTTTTTTTTTAATAATTACTATATAACTATATAGCTCTCTTATTTACTATTATTATAATTTAAAATATAATTTTTAATTTTAATATATTATATTATATATTATTTATTTCTTTTTACTATATATAAAGGTAATATCTTAAGATTAAGCTATATATATAACTATAAGTTATAACTATTTAATATATATTTTAAAAAAAATAAGCTATAGTTTATACTTAAACCTTTTAAATATTATAAAAACTTTTAAGATTATATATAAAGCTTAAGTATAAGTATTAATATCTTAAAAAAACTTTAATAAGAGCTAATTAATATATAAGTTAGTTATAGCTTTAAAAGGAGATACTTATTATTATTAATTTTTCTTAATTTAATTTAATTTAAGTAAATAATAATATTAATATTTAATATTATTATTTTTAATAAATACTTAATTATAATAAATAACTAAGTTTTATAATATATAATATATATATATCCTTTAATTTAGATATTTATTATACTTATAGTTATAAGGTTAAAGTAGATTAAATAAGATTAATAATAAGTATAAGCTTAATAAAATATTTAATTTTAGTAAGGACTTAAGTATATATAGTAATATATAAGACTTAATAAAGTTAATTAAATAATAATATATTATTAAATTATTTATAATAAAGTAATAAAGGTAGTATTTATAAATAGATTATTAATTATAAATAGACTTAAGCTATATAGTTTTATTAAATATATTTATAGTAATATATACTTATCTTCTTATTAAGGCTAAGGATAATAGCTTTTAAATAAATAGAAAGTAATATTTTAAGGTTTATAAAGGAGTTATATTAATAAAAGATTTATATTTAAAGTATAAATTATTATTAATATTAAACTTTATATATAGCTAAATATAAACCTTATAATTAAATAAAAAGGCTAAAAGTTAATATAATATAATACTAAATATAATATTAAGTTATTTAAATCTTAATATTTAGGAATTTCCTTTTTTTTTAATAATTATTATATAATTATATAGCTCTTTTATTTATTACTATAATATATAATATTAATTATAAAAGATAATTTAAAGAGATTATTTTCTAAATATATTAAATATTTAAGCTTTTAATTAATTATAAGCTTCTTTATAATAATAAAGTTATTATTAATAATTTAAATTTAATAATTATAATTATTAAGTTTATTAATTTATTATAAAATTAATAAAATAATATTAATAAATTAAATAAATATAAAATACTTTTAAAAAATAAGAAAAATTTAAATAAATTAAATTTTATTAATAATTATTTTTTATATTTATTAATTATAATAATTTAATATTTAATATTTAATTTTAATATATTATATATTATATTAAATTAATTTAAATAAAAATAACTTTTAAAAATTAAATTTATTTTATTAATATAATTAATATTATATTATAAATAAATTAAATTAAATAATTTAATAATATTAAATAAGTTTTTTAAAAAGTTTATTAATTAATTATTTATTTTTTCTTTTTTCTTATTATAAATAATAATAAGTAAAAGAGCTATATAATTATATAATAATTACTAAAAAAAAAAAGGGAAATTCCTAAATACTAAGAATTAAATAATTTAATATTATACTTAATATTATAATATATTAACCTTTAGCTTTTTTATTTAACTATAAAGCTTATACTTAGCTATATATAAAGTTTAATATTAATAATAACTTATACTTTAAATATAAATCTTTTATTAATATAACTCTTTTTATAAACCTTAAAATATTACTTTCTATCTATTTAAAGGCTATTATCCTTAGCTTAATCCTTTTACTTAATAGGAAGATAAAGTATATACTACTATAAATATACCTAATAGAACTATATAGCTTAAGTCTACCTATAATTAATAATCTATTTATAATTATTACCTTTATTATTATAGATAATTTAATTATAATATATTACTACCTTTACTACTTTATATATTACTACCTTTATTACTTTAACTTAAGTTTTAAATATCCTATTAAGCTTATATTTACTATTAATCTTATTTAATCTACTTTAAACTTAATTAATTATAAGTAGAATATATAAATATCTTAAAGAATATATTAAGATACTAAAGTATAAGTTATTAAAGGTATTAATATTTATTATTAAGGATAAATAGTTATATAACTAATTAATCCTTAAGCTTCTTACTATAAATATAAGTAATTATAAGCTTATAGGTATTATTAAAGCTATAAGTTTATTAAAGATTAAGGTACTTTAAGACTTTAATCTTAAGTAATTAGCTAGCTTATTTAATTTTAATAATTATATTCTTAATAAAACTAACTCTTTTAAAGAGGAGGACTTAATTAATAAGAATAATATTATTTAATAATACTTCTATTAATTAACCTTTTTAATCCTAAATATATATTAATATAAAATAGTAATTATAATTATTATAACCTCTAGCTATTAAAAGGCTAAGAAATTAATTTATTATAAAGATAGTTACTAAGGTTACTTAAGTTAATAGAATATTTATATATAATTAAGGAGAAAAGAAGGAAGAAAGAAAGAGAGATAAATAGTTAAGTTAATTAAATATAAGCTTACTTATCTCTCTTAAATATATAAATATATATAAATATATATCTATCCTTATACCCTCCTCTCTTATTATAAATAAAAGTTATTTAATTTTAAAATTAAGCTATATATATAATTATTAAATATTAAGTTTATTAATTATTAAAGAGATTAAAATTAAAAAAAAAGTTTATTAAAATTAATTTATATTTAATATATTTTAATATAAAAATTATTAATATAAATTTTTAAATTAATAATAATAAATATTTATAATTAATTTAATTAATAAATTATATATTATATAATATAATATATTATATATTATATTAAATTTATTTAAATAAAAATAATTTTTAAAAATTAAAAATATTAAAATAAATTTTAATTTTATATTTTTAATTAAAATTAAATTAAAATATTAAAAATTTATATTAAAAAAAGTTTATTTATTAAAATATTTAAAAATATAAAAATATTAATTAATTTATTATATTTAAAAATATAATATAATATTTATTATAATAAATTTTTATTATTAATAATATAAATTTATTAATTTTTAATATTTAATAATTTATATAATTATATATATAAGTAGGAAGCTTAAGGATTAACTAATTATATAGCTATTTATCCCTAATAATAGGTATTAATACCCTTAGTAGCTTACGCTTTAGTATCTTAGTATATATATCCTTTAATTTAAATATTTATATATATAAGTGCCTTTTACTTTTATAATACGAAGCTAATTTAGCTAATAATTAATATTAAGGATTAATATACTTATAGTTATAAGGTTAGAGTAAATTAAATAAGATTAATAGTAAGTATAAGCTTAGTAGGATATTTAATACTTAAGTATATATAGTAATATATAAGACTTAATAGAGTTAACTAATAGTAAAGGTAGTAATATATTATAGTTAAATTATCTTAATAAGGTAGTACTTATAGATAGATTATTAATTATAGGTAGACTTAAGCTATATAGTTCTATTAGATATATTTATAGTAATATATACTTTATCTTCCTACTAAGGCTAAGGATAGTAGTCTTTAAATAAATAGAAAGTAGTATTTTAAGGTTTATAAAAGGAGTTATATTAATAAAAGACTTATATTTAAGGTATAAGTTATTATTAATATTAACCTTATATATAGCTAAATATAAGCTTTATAATTAGGTAAAAGGCTAAAGGTTAATATATTATAATATTAAGTATAATATTAAGTTATTTAATTCTTAATATTTAAGAATTTCCCTTTTTTTTTAATAGCTACTATATAACTATATAGCTCTCTTACTTACTATTTACTACTTTAATCCTAAAGTATATATTAATATAAAATAATTATTATAATTACTATAACCTTTAGCTATTATTATAAAAATAGGTATTAAAGTTATTTATATATAATTAGGAA